GACACAGGGAACAAGGAGCGGATTCTGAGGATATCTTTACCTTTTTGCTTACCTAGCACTTGGATATTAAGGGCAAAAAGCATCAATACTGAAAGGTTGGTCAACCCTACTCTGAAAGTCGTACCTCTTGTAGCTATTCCTGAGACATCAACTTCTGCAGAAGATGTGAGTTCAGAGCACCTGGCTCTGCTACCCACTCTTTCTCACTGCAGTCTGTCTTATGGATGTTGTCTTGAAATGAGGTTGACCTGGCTTCCAGTGGAAGGGGTGCCTGTGTATCACAGCAACTCCCTCTCCTTTGAAGCCATGGTATAGATCTAAGATGGATACTAACCCAGGCCTGGCTCCAGTAAGCTTTTTCTGGATTAGCCTTTCTCACTCATTCTGCCAAAATACATTGCTTCAAGTCTCCTCATCCGAAAGGGAGAAGGTAAGCTTCTTGTCTCTATCCACTAGGTGTGCTCTCTGCCAAATTCAGGAAAATCCATAGCTTGAGGTGCATGCAGGCATGTAGCAGCATCAACGTAGACAGTAACAGCAGGGCTTGTGGTCATGAGCTTCAGAATCAGGGCCATGGTGTTCACCAGGCTGCTGTGAATGCAGAGCTGCAGCAGAGTAACAGCAAAAGGAGCAGGAAAAAAATGACAGAAAGAAGCATCAAAGAGATGCCTGCTCCCACCTACAAAGAAACACTGTTCTTTCATCTTGATGAAAGATCCTGCTCAGGGTAATCTGGGGCTTTACCACCTCCCAAGAGAATTTCCATAATCTGGGCTGACAGCAAAAGGAAGAAAGCATCCTCACGCAGGCCCTCGCTCCTCAGCTCCTTCCCAACTCTGTTTTCTGCCATCTCTCAGCTTGTATCCATGGCAAGATCTTGGGTTTAGTCTGTAAAGTGTTAGTGAATCATTTGCCAACTACGTCAGGTTTTGCCTGTCTACTTCTGATCCTCTGAGACTACTCTGTATGTACAGGACATTGTTGACCAAACAAGGCCAAACTCTCAGCTTGTAGCTGCAAGACATGAAGCATCCCACACTGGAAGTTTGGGATCACTTGTCAGCAGGGAGAAGAGTGTAATGTTCAGCCAAGAGGTTAAAACCTGCAGAATGGCAAGATGTTCCCTGTGTACCCTAAAACCTTCTTGATAAAGTCTCTGAGCCCTTCCTTCTGATTCCTGATTCAAAATTCACTGTTTTATCTGAACTTAAGTTGTACCTCTGTCAGAATGCAGATCATTTGGATCAGCCTGAGCTCCTTTTCCCTGCTAACTCTCCTCACGTTGATCCTGCCTCAGCATCTTCTCTGTGGGTGTGCTAGTCAGGAGGAGCTTAGTGTTTTCCTCTCCATTTGGCAGAGTTCTTCCTTCTTTTCTCCTTCCTCCTTTGTCCTTCGTCCTTCCTCCATTCTTCATCCTTCGTCCTTCTTCCTTCTCAGACAGCTTCAGTCCCTAACTTGCTCTTCTCCGGCATGTCACCTGCTGGAATAGTACACAAAACACAGCTTAATCACAGTTTTTTTCCTCTCCTCTGGGTGTCTGCAAGATATCTGTGAACTGAAGAGCCATCTAGAAGGCTGTAAATTGTTGGTCAGACCACACAGTAATTTGACAGAAAGAAGATGTTTTTTCTTTACCCAGTTGGCAGCTGGCGATCTCTCAAAGCAAACTTTGTTACTGATTTATTGCTAATAGAAGATACTGTGGAGTTCTAAGATACATTAGAAGGTGAAAATTGTCCAAGTATTAGATAAGAAGTGTCTGATTGCAAGGTGAGTAACAGAAGTACAGAAATTGAGTGTTGAGTAACTGGAAGTCACTTCGTTCTTCAGTTAGTTATTGTGCATCAGCTCTGAAAAATACTAAAGGAAATCTTTAAAAAAACCTCCACCATACACTTCACTTGCCTTTTTTCTTATTGAGCAGAATCATAAAATGGTAAATAATGATTTATCATTCAGCAATTTATAAAATTATTTCCATAAATACTTTGAATGACACTGAGAAATCCGAAGATGTTGCATACAGAACTATAAAGCCAAAGGTTTAAATGAATTTCCCTCACAGTAGTAGCAGTAGTAGTATAATCACAGTTTTTTTGGATTTTAAAAAAATTATTTTATTGGTCCACCCTACGGAGCACCATATTCTGGATATCCTAAACAGTTTGCAATTCCATAAACAGAATTTTCAGGAAGTTTTTGAGATTTAAGTCCATTTGTCCCTGGCGGAAAAAAGGGTATGAGCAGGAACCCATGTTCCAGATTGCCAGCTTTGCTCCTGCATTTTGAACTAGATTTTGCAGGGACTTAAATTGCGCTGTTAAAGTTTTCCTTCCTCCTACACGTCTACTCTGGAGAAAGTCCTAAAGCACCTCTGTCTTTAAAGGGTGCAGGTGTTTGGTCTCCTCTTTCCAACCTATGTGGGAAATTCCAGAGATTAGAGGAGTTGTAACCCCTTCCTTCTCCAAGAAGACTTGATCTCGGGGTAGTATTCTCTGAGCATGAAATATCTGAGCATGGTGTAGAGGCCACCACCCCTTTCCTTTGAAACACAAACGGAAGGAAAGATTATCTCTTAACTTAGGTCAGGTTGCATCTGATCAGACGCAGACTTCAGGTCTTGTTTTTCTCAGTGGAGAAACAGTACTTGATGGGGATAACTCAGAGACATATTTCATAAGTGGAGAAAATACACTACTTCTTGTTTTTTCTTTGTCTCTTCACCACCTGCACGCTGAGGTGATTTTCTGCTCAGCCTTTTGCATTTGGTGGGTCTGTTGGAGGTTTTTATGCAGCACATGTTGTATGTGGAAAGAAGGGCATCCAGCTGAAGGCTGCAGGGGCCAGGGACCTAAATTCTGGTGTGAATCTCATTGCTTTGTCCTCATCACAGCCTCAATCTCCAAAATGAAAAACTAGTAGGCATGTTTTCATTATAGCATAAACCACCAACACGGTTAGGCAAGATAAGCATAGACAGTTTTGAATATTAAATCCCAGCTACACAGAAGGAACTGCTTGTGTGAAATTAGTTGTTTTACCTTATCCAAGTTTCCTCATTAGACCATTCCCTCTGCCATAAAACCTTTGCTTCTTGTGCCAATGAATGAGATTAATCTTCTAAAGTTTTTAGTGCACTACCTGCAGCATTACAACATTAAAAATAAATAAATAAGCCTACCACATTGTTCCCTGGTTTCAAACTTTGCAGATTCAGGGTTCAGTAAGAAGTCATCTCTCTTTTTTCCTTTAAAAGACAACCATATAGAATAATAGAGCTCTCTGTCTAGCATATGATCCCATCTGGAAAGAATTTAGTCTGCAATAATTGTGGGCATTTGATTTAGCTTTAAATCCCTCTAGGTAATTCAAATGTAAATTTATTGGGGTGAATTTATCCCCAAATCCCTATTGGATCCGATGTTTTAGAGGAATTTGGCCCACTGCACTAAAACTAGAGTCTGCATTGTTTCTATTGCATCAGGATATTATTACATGCTGTAATGTCTGTCGTGATAAGCAGACTTTTACTATAAAGTCAATAGAGACAAAACAATCACCTGAGTCACATTTATTTTTTCAGACCTTTAAGGATTAGTAATCCTCTGCTTGTGAATAAGTTTATAGATTGGTATCGCTCAGAAAACACTGGCCTAATTCATTATTGTGTTATTCTGTACCCATCTCAGAAAGTCTTTTTGGTTAAGTAAAATTCTTTGCATTTCACATTCTGCTTTAGGGGAAAGAAAAAGTTTTAAGATGTATTCAGTACATAATGTAAACAATGCCATCGGTCTTTTTCTTTGTAAAATCTTCTTTGAGATAGCCCCGATATGCCTACTGTTTTCAATCACTTAAAAGGCAGTAATTCAATTATATCATCCTCTATTTAGGAACTGCCATTGCTTTCAGTCCACTTCCAATCCTGACACAAGTAAATCTCTTTGATAAGATCCCCTTCTTATTTATTTTTTTTCTGAGGAGACTAGCATAAGTAATGATGCCTGTGATAGACCAAGGACAAAATGACCATAATGCACTTTCTCTAGGAAAGGAAAACATGTGACATTGTGATTCCACATTACCTGGAAAATGTTTTTTTTTCTGTGGAATTTCTGCAGCCGCCACACTCTCCAAGCGAAGGGCATTAGTAATTATGAATGACCAAATGGTAAATTCAGACAAAACCTTCACTGGGCAGCATATTTAAAGAGCTATCACTACCTACATTTCTTGAATGGGAAGGGAAGGTCAAAGCCATTTTGGAAACGTGCGTAGGTTGTATTCATCTCTGGTATAATGCCACCTACTCACATGGAAATGTGCTGAGAACGTGTAAGATTGGATCTTCCTTAAAAACTGCTATGGCTTATCGTGCAGATATGCCTTCCTTCTATTTAAAAAATGTTTGGGTGACTTCAGTGCTTTGTGCCACTAGCAAGGCAGGGGCCTGGCAGACACGTCTAACTTCCCAGAATAGACGCAGCACGAGACCGGTAGTATCTGTAGACTTCCTGCTATGAACTGGCCTCCACTCTGATGCTGAGAGAGGATGGTTAGGACTGAGCTGCCTCTGGACATGTCTATCTCTTGCCCCTGATTTCAGAAAAATGGGAGATGAGGCGGTCATGTGCGTTGTGAAACCTTGTTTGAAAGGAGCTAGGCCACATGTGTCTCTTTGAACCCAGAGTGATCACTTAGCACACATGACTCCAGAGCTTGCATTTTCAAATTTGTCAAGAGTGCTGGTTCTATATTCCCTGTTTGAGACCATGTCCAAGAAACACAGGAGAAGGTTCAGGCTACTTTGCTGAAGAAGCACAGTAGAGGTGATCAGCAATGTTAAAACACTGCAGCCCAAGTTTGGTGTTTTCCATGACATGCTATGAAGTAACACTTTTATTAAGTAATTTTGGAGGGTCTGTGTGAGAAAGCTGTGACTAATGAATTAAGAGACTGTTTAGGGTGTCATTGATACACTAGGTTGTTTCCTTTCACAGAGAAAGTGTGGAGAGCCTTATCCAAAAGCATTCCTATGCCCGATCCCCCATTCGAACATATGGAGGAGAAGATGACCTCGGAGATGACAGCCAGGCAACACAAAGCAGAGGTAGGAAAATGTGCTCATGAGGTAAACTGGGGTGACCTAGTTGTTGCTTGAGAAAAGGAGGACCACAGTTGGTACTGTGGTACCCTCAGTAATTTCTCTGGTGTGTATCTCTGCCATGAAGTCTTATAATGAAGAAGAAATACTTGTGACCTTATGGCTCCTCTGGACATCTGATATGCCCATGGCACTGGTGTGGGGGGCTAGTTCAGAGGGAGGCTCTAGAGGTGCCTAAATAGCCTTTACCACTGGAATAGAGCTGTCTCTGCTTCCTCTTCAAGATGGCTGAAAACCAGGCAACTTTACTGAAAACAAGCCAACATTCTTCATTCCTTGGTAAGATTTACTAGCTGGGGCTCAGCACCATTTGTAAAGTACTATGTAGATGTGCCATGGGTTGCCTCTCCAGCCCTCTGTGAACAAAGGACTTGGTTGTGACCATCTTTAACCAGCCTGTGGTTAAACAGCTTTGCCTCTACAGGAAGAAAAGTCCATAGCTCCCGGGAAAATCGATGTTCGTTATCTCTTGGTCTCTAAAAGGTGCTTTTCTTGCTGAGGCAATTCACCTCAAATGCTTCATCAAATGGTTCATCTGCTTCAGGAGTCACAAAAGTAGTAGCAAAACAGAGCTGTTCTTTGTGGTGCTACTCGCTGGATAAATGGCATCTGCCATAATTTGCCGCTGGAAATAGATCTCAAGCCCACCCTGTGGGATCACTGGCTAGCATAAACTTGTGTTGCATTATACTTTGCATGTTGACTTCGTGACCTGCCTGATATGCAACAGCCACTTGAGGTAAAGCAGTTCTGTCTGCCTTCCAACTGGCAGTGCCCTTGTGTTGTCCTCTAACTTCATATAGTGTCGCCAAGATAAGAGCATTATTTCTGGTCATAAGCTATTTGGACTTGTGCAGGGAAAACACGCTTATTTTTAACCACGAGCCGCTCTTCAACAAAATGTGATTAGGTGGGCTTGTTCATACACGTCTATTCTAAGAGCTCTTCCTTAGATTACAGAGTTCCTGGAGAAACTCCTCAGCTGGTAGGATGCCATCCTTTCACATACTTCTGGGGGATTACCTTGCTTCATATCAGCTTAGATCCTAGGCTAGTTATTATTGAAGACAGTGTTCAATTCTCCCTTGCCAGAAGTGCTCAGAGCAAGGTACCTTCTCTCCAAGAATGACATTTCTTCCTGGGGTGATGTCCTCCTTCAGGAATGACAAAGTGAATGAGGTGAACCTCACTATGAGATGTGGCCTTTAGAGACTTTCTCTTCTCAAAAGCATCCTCAGGGATATGTTAGAGGATGAAGGAATAGTTTACTAAAATGATGTATAATATATACAGAGTACAGTTCTGCATTTGCTTGCAATATGGCAAATGACTAAGTGAGGAAGATGATGAATTGTGGCAACCAACTTTTTTCTAATCTGGGAGCCATATGCTAGCATAGGATGTGATTATTCTGGGCAACCAGAGGCATGCACAGAAGGTAAAACATACTGCTCGTGCAGATGGGTACCTTGTACTGCCTTCCTTCTCTGCTTAGGTCTGGTGCCCATAAACAAGAAAAAGTCCTCCGAGATATGAGGAGAGAAAAAATGATCTTACTGAAACTCCACAGACATCTTTATTTCTTCTGATGCGTTTAAAAACTACCTTGTGTGCAGAATTGAGGAGTGTCCTTCCATATGTCTAAGAGTTGACAGCCAAGTACAAGCATGCTGCTGGGTGCTGTGTGTTGCAAGGTCTCTGAGGCCTCGACCGTCTCGGATTTTATATAGCACATTTTGTTGGCCCTGGCAAATGTGGTACGCAAGACTTTGTGGAGTACTAAGTCATAATTAGATACCTTTGCAGTTGGAGGAGGAAAGGGCCCTTATGGAGGTTCCTCCTGAGAAGGAATCACATACTTTGTTCTGTGTAGAACAAAGGAAGTCTATCACTGCTATTTATTTCTAATTACTTCCAGAGCATTCTCCTCTCAGCCAATTTCAGCCATCTAAAGATGGAAGTGGCTGGCCTTCAGCAGTATATTTATCACAAGAAGTCTGTTTCCAAAGGAATTAACTGACATGAAGTATATAAATCCAATTAAAACTCCTTAATGCATAATATCTGGGGTGCCTGGGCTCCAGCATGCACACCCGGGGTTCGTGGTAGCCACCTGCAACAGAGCCAAATCCAAACCTTCTCGTCATATACCACCTTGTATCCTGCTTGCCCCGCAGTGCAGGAACGCTCAGACATCCCCTCATCTGTAAAGGGGTTTGCTCTGGTCCCTCACTATGGCGTTATCCTCACAGTTTGGCTCTGGCTCCTCACTTCCCAGTGGTGAGGATTTTGTTCACTAGGGGGGTCAGGATCTGGTTCGAGTCCGTGTCTACTGCTGTACTGACACAATTTCTTTTCCTCGTTGCTGGACTGTTTTACTTGTTTCATTAAGCAGAGGAGGAATTAATCAAGAGTAACTCTTTTTCTGATTTGAGAATATATCCCTAAAAAGAGCTATGATTTTTTTAATAATTTGCATTTTTTTCCCTTTATAGTGTTGTTTGCTTATAGTCGTTTAGAGTACATGGCTATGACTGGTTAGCATACATAATTCCAATAAGTCTACTTTGACACATAGGTGTCTTCGTATTTTTTCTTTTCACAGTTTGGATGAAACTATCTTCTAGAGCCAGATTTATGAAATGAATGACCATCGTAAAATTTGTCATCTCAGAACATTTTGCAACTGGATTGAAATGATAACTTGATAAATATTCTTGCCAGTAAATTTATTTCTTAAAGCAAGAAACATTTTCTCAATGGACAAAGTTGGGCAAGAAAGAAAATACAGAAGGGACGTGAGCTGAATTATAGTTTGAATAGGAATAAAAGATTAAGTATATTTACAGGATTTTATTTTATTCCCCATTTCTGGAAATCAGGTGTCTGATGATGACCAGATGTATAGAGAAACTGCAGAGGTGAAGGGCAACATCATCACCACATTATTTGAAAATGACCATGTATAATTATACAAATAAATTATTCACCGTTTCCCAAAAATTTTACTGTCAAAATAAATAATTATTTCTACTTTAACAAAACCATTTTCCTTTTTTTGTTTTTATGTTTCTGCATTCTTCAGAGAAAAAGTGTTTTAAAGAGGTGAAAGATTTGTGAAAATAATTTTTGGAACTTTTGAGATTAAAAAAATACCAAGGAAAACAGTTCCATTTGATCAAAAATAGATAATTACTCTGAGAGTGAGTTTTTAGTATTTTTGTGAAATTCTCTTAAAACCTTGCATCTTTTACTATGATTTAGCATTAGTGTTGTTAGAGCACTGTACACAGTTCAAAAAATAACAAATATTTTGATATTTTAGAAATTTGTGTTCTATAACTTGGTAAGAGTCAAGTTGCATGAAATAATGTAGTACTGACAAGTGTTGGCAAAAAAAAAAAACAAACAAAAACCAAAAAAGAGGAAAATTTGTAGTGAAAATTACATTTTTCTGCATTTTTGCCAGACTGAAATTTTAGAAAAAAATAACCAGTTCTACTGAGGATCTGGTTAAAAAAGCTACAAGCATGCCTTCAAAACAGGGACATAAGGCAGTGAGATTCCACATTAGAGTAAATGCTTCAGTGTTTAGTGGCAGCATTGCAAGGTTTTTCAGTGTTTAATACCAAAAACATCGAATGTGCAAAGCTGATTTTACTGTTCAAGGCACTGCAACCACCTTCTTAAAATGGAAATTTGTCTAAGACGCAGTGATAAAGGTCAGCAACTGGCAAATAATAATAGGAAGAAGTAAGGAGAGAGAACTATTTGGGAAGTATTTCCAGTGATGAATTGTTATTAAAATCAGCATTGCTGTGAAAGACTCATTTTTGCTGTTTTTCACTGTTTTGTCAGGTTTTGTGTCACAGTACAAACATCAGGCATTCTTTCTGTTTGCTTGCAGGGTCAGCCTTTACAACATCTGACAACCTGTCCCTCAGTTCCTGGGTATCCTCCTCAACCAGTTTTCCTGGATTTCAGCATCCCCAGTCTTTGAGCGCCCTGGGTACCAGCACCACATCCATAGCTACGCCCATTCCTCACCCCATCCAGGGATCTCTGCCTCCATACAGCCGCCTGGGGATGCCTCTTACGCCCTCTGCTATAGCCAGCTCCATGCAAGGTAGTGGCCCCACTTTCCCTTCCTTCCACATGCCGAGGTACCACCATTATTTCCAGCAGGGCCCTTACGCGGCTATCCAAGGACTGCGTCACTCCTCTGCAGTGATGACGCCGTTTGTATGAGTGACATTAAGACAAGAGGAACGTGAGATTTTTAAATGTGCAAGTTGAGCATGAAAAAAAGACAAACGGACCTTCCCGAAAGGCCTATGGCAGGAACGCGGAACTCGTAACAAACCAGCTAAGAAAATGCATTAAGGATAGAGATTCCTCCATTTGAGGGATCATGAGCAGAGAGCGTGCAGCTTGGAGCTGCTCACAGATCTGTGCGTAACGCAGCCGAAACGGATCCCAAAATTCCCAGGATTTTCGGTCACGTACAGCTTGTTCCAAAGGTGCATTTATACCTAGCGGAAAGAGATTATGTTCATGCAGCAGTGTAAAAATTAACTGTGTATAGGTCTTTTTTTTTTTTTCATATGCTAGGAGAATTCTGAAAAAGGCAATACTTATGCATCTTCATCTCTTCTTGTGACTGGTGAGCATCTAAACAGAAAACGTATTGCCGTAACTCAGAGCATGTTTTAGGCTATCTCAGCACAGATTTGCTGGGTGCAGGACAAAGTGGAGAAGACCACTGTCCTTTTTAAGACTGGCTTATATTCACCAAAAGCAGTATTTCTTAGTTGCTACTATAATCCCAAAGAGAAAATTATTAACAAGTCTTTCTTTGTTTGTTTCACAAAACACTTACAGTTCCAACAAAGAACTGTGTTACAGGACTGTAGCAGTGATGATGTATTCTGTCCTTCAACATAAAAAGAAGTTTGTCCTATATCATAGGAGGAGCCATTTAACTGTCTATTAAGGTGTGATGAAGGAAAATGCTGATTTGGTAAAATCTGTTACTTAAACTTAGAAAGTCAAGGTATCAAATCTTTAAATCAATGCTTGTTTGCTGCTGTTCTTGCCACCGAAGATCTGCTTCTAGCTGCAAGTGTGTACCAAAATAACTGAATTTCAGGCTAGATCAGTCTACAGACTCTCTAGATCAAACTGTAATCAACGGACTGGTATAAGTTGAGTGATACTGGAGTATCGTTCTACTTGTTCGGATTTTCTTGAGTTTGGTCACGGCTGTTGTCATACCAACTCTTTGGCCAGGAAAATGTGGGTTGTACTGACTGGCTTTCCATGTCCTGGTAGAATGGTGGAGTTTCCTTAGGAAAATATCAGTGCAGAAATTCACATGTGATATTATTTTTTTTTAGCTCATATCTGCCTTTTTTCATTTAGCAGTTAGGGTTCTCATTCAAAGTACTGTCCACTTTTTCTAGTATGTTATGTCTGATACAATTAACAACTGTAGCAGTATAAGAAAAAATACCCTCTCTACAGAGAGCTAGCATGAGTCCTTTGCACTGCTGAAAAGAGTACCATCACGATGCTGGTTTTCTGTGTAGCAGGAGCTCAGATTTCACTGTAAATAAGAAGTCAATACAGAGTTTCTGTGTAGAGTTGTATCCAAGTTCTAGATGATAAAACATCTACTGATAAAAAAGAGCTACCAACTCAATCTCAGTTATATATCAAAGATCTGTGTAGAGCTGGAACACACAATGGAAACCAGACTTTTGGGCACTATTCTCCTCTACATTTGACCAGTGTGTGTTGGTATGGTATAGCAAGAAGCGGAGTGCAGAACACTGAGTCACTTACTTCCCATCCCTGTGAAGTGCATGGCAAGTCATGTGCCTTTTTCTGTCCCATCGCCTCATCTTACATGCCCTATCACACAGAGCAATGAGAACCTCCCAGGCTTTTCCCAGCTTCTACTGCAGGCCAGTACTTGCGTACCACGGATAAGGGCCATCTCTATGCATTTCCCAGCAGCTGAATTTAAAATCTTGTCGAATTAGCCACTTCAGTCAGCAGTCTCCAGTATCATCCTAAATTCCCTTTACTCACTGTTGGATCTGCTGATAAAAAATGACCTGAGGCACTTTACAGCTTCTGTGTTCTGTACATGAATGAAAACCAAACTTTTATTTACAGTTTCTGGGTTCAGGGCTGCTACAAGTTGGTCTGCAAATGAATATAACAGGCTGAGATGGCTTAGAACCAGGCACTGAATTTGGCTTGATGTATCCAAGTATTAGATTTTGCTCCAGGCTATCAATTCACCTGAAAAGTACAGGTTGCAAGGTTGTGTCTACTTATGACCGGTTTTTGGAATAAACACCCTATTTTTCAGGGAATTAAATGATACTGGCCCCACAAGAGCAGGACTCTTGAAGTACCTATATGATTTCACAGGGATAAGAATTTCAGGAGAGATTTGGAAGAAAATTTTAATCCCTCTTCTTCAGTTGCCCGACTTTGCTAGAGTTGTATGAAGCTTCTATGATGACAGGCACTAAAGCCTGTGGGGAAATTCTGTTTCCTCTTCAGCTCTACTAATTTCTCTGGAATTGGAGGGGATATCAGTAGGTTCAGAATTCAAGCCAGTAGCTTTAATGCTAGTACTTCCACGAGGAAATGGTCAAGTAAGTAGGCAGCTTTTGCACGACTCCAGAAATAAGTCTGGAACAGGTAGGCTGACATAGGCAAGCTTTACAGGTCACATAAAGCCTGCTCATACATTGACCTGTCTTTTTGTGGCACAAATTCAGATAAATAAACTGCATAATCTCTTTAGCCTGGTCCCAGTCCCTGTTCTGAAAACACCAATGTTAGACATGCAGAAATGCTCCTAATAATGTTTGAGAGAAAATTCACCAGGCTCTTCCAGGAGATTGAAACTGGATTTTGACATAATTTACAAAAAAATATTAAATGAAAGACAAGTGCTTTTCACTACGCAGTTAATATCTAAAAAAATATGGCAGCAGTCTGTCCCTATATTAAAACACGCTATGAGTTCTCTGTGATGAATTTCATATTATAGATGATGCAGAACTATCTATCAAAATCTATGGCTTGATTTTTTCAGTCAGATCAAGTCTCTGTGTGCTCATCCCTCCCCCTGCTGCTCTCTGGTATTTGATGTTCTCCTATGGTTTAATTCCTTTGCATCAGAATCCTCCTGGTTTCCCCACTAATGCAGAATCACAGGCAGATATCAAACAAGGGAACAAAGGTTTTAAACTAAAAGAGGGTAGAGTTAGACAGATATAAGGAAGAAATTTTTTACTGAGCATGGTGAAACACTGGAACGGGTTACCCAGAGAGGTAGTGGAGGCCCAATCCATGGAGACATTCAGGATCAGGTTTGATGGGGCTCTGAGCAGCCTGATCTAGTTAAAGATATCCCTGCTTATAACAGGGAGGTTGAACTAGATGACCTCTACAGGTCCCTTCCAACCCAACACATTCTATTCTACTCATTCCATTCCATTCTACTGAAGGCAGCTTGTGAGAGCCTTTGCGAGGAATAAGGTCAATATGCCTGTTCAGGTGTCCTCGCCACCTTCTCTTTGCCCTCACAATCCTACCTCCAAAGCCTGTTGTGTAGAGTTGAGGCTGAAGGGATTGAGTTCACAGAGACCACAAGAGGCCCAATGAAGAGGTCTTGCCACTTCATAAGGTTTCTTCTTCTCTCTCTCACCTTCCTGTGGGCAGGAGTCAGCACGGGAGTGGTTCCAGGGATAAAATTCCTGCCTCACTGAAGCCAGCTGCAAATTCCTTGACTGTAATCGAGATGGTATTTCATTCAACATTCTCACAAAAAATAAAGCCTAACCGTAAGAACAGTGACTGTAGCGAGAGCCATGCTATAGGAACTCTATAGAAAAGACTAAAACCCAACTACAAATCAGGTTTAGCACTGATTTCACAATTGGAAGAAAATTAATGTAAAATTGTAATGAGTTGGTTAAAGAGGGAAATAACTTTTCCTGAAAAAAAATTGTCTGTAGTACTTTGACAATAACTCAGTAATTTATTTAAGGAGTTGCTGTGTTGCTGTCAAAATTATATCACTTTCAGGACAGAACATCTGTTGCTGGTAGATGGTCTAGGAATGCCACATATAATCTAGAGTTTATTTTCCAATATAATTCACATTTGATATCTCAAGAGAAGTGCTCTTCACCTTTATGAGCTCTCTTGGATAAGTAAATTGGTGCTGATTTATATTGTTTTGTGGGGTTTTTTTAAGAAGGGTAGAGAGAACATGCCTGAATATGCTTTTCAAAGAGAAGATTATGCCTCAAAGTGTTACAAGTACTTTTGGGTGTATTCTGGATTACCCTTTTATCCATAGACAGTCAACAGTCTCAGGTCTTTAATCCAACAAAGGCATCCCAAAGACTAACAAAGCTGACTTAGATGTGTTTGTCTGAATTTCTTTTTCTTGTTCTTTTGGAGACCTGAGAGAAGCTAGACATAAAAAAAAAATCAAAAAAAAAATCATCTGTTTGGTTTGCAATATTGCTTTATATGGCCTGAGTAAAAGAATGAAACTCAGTGCCCTTGGGTTGCAGTGGTACTTTTCTAGGTATAACTGAACAAACAAGCATAGACCAAATGGTTAAAAGTATAGTCTAACAAAAATGCTTCCTTATGAGTTCAAAGATGGTAAATTGTATGGTAGCTAATGTACTTGGTAGTACAATCTACAAAATACAATTGCAAATTTTCTCCCAGAAGGCTTCATCCATGGAGGCTGGGACACTGCGTGAATGTGTACACAGAAGAAGCTGCTGCTGCTTCCGTGTGGTAGCAAACATACTGATCAGCATTTGAAAATGAACGTGTTTTTAACTGAAAACATTTGGGCTGGCAACTTGATAATGTACTACATCCTCTCTCCGCATGTGTACTACAGGGAAACAGAAACATCAGTAAAAATCACTGTAAAAACTCGAAGAGCTTTCCAAAACTATGTTAATATAAATTGTGGTAATTGGCCCCTAGATAAGGGGCGAAAGCAACAGTGAGATCAGTGTAACACTTGGGGCACCTCATCTGGGAGGGAATTGTGGCCACAGTGCTTATCGTCTGCAGGGGGATGACATTCACTCACCACAAGATTAATTTTGGGTTTAGTGAGATCTTATTCTCACTATTCCTTACAGAGCATTTTCTGCTGCAGGAGATGTGGTTACTTTACTAACCACTTA